TTTAACAAAGAAACTTGAAATTCTGTCAATCTCGAAGTCAGATTGTGTTCTAATTCGATGTCTTAATTAAATCAAACTATTGTAAACCTTTTGATGTACATTTTAATGTGACAAATTTAAGTTGTGATATTTGGTTGCGATTCATTTCAACGTACTATAAATTAATATATAAGAGATTAGTCACCATTACTGTCAACTTAAAGACGTAATAAGATATAATATAAACACCAATATAGTTATAATTAAAGTTGCTCTCATTTTATTAATATTTTTGAGAAATTCGGAATACAAGTAAGCAAATAAAACGTGTCGGCTATGATATAAACTCTCCTGCCCTTTCCTCACTATAAGAGTACAATTCTCTAGTGTTGTAATTCAGGAGAGAACAGCGTATAATAAAATCGTATATCTTTCACAGTTTACCTAATCTCTTCTCTTATATATTTAGGTGGTGGATATAGAGCCTCCACGAGTGCTGTGTGCCTTGGGATTTAGGAGTTTCTGAATTTAATGCGCAAGAAAGGTGAATTTTTCTATGCAGGATCTGTTCTTATGTTATTGTAATAGCTCACGATTGGCTGAAATCGAAACAGTCACGTAGAAAAAAGGTTTTTTTCTACTGTGTAGTTTTTACTAATGGTCGCTCCAATCATACAATTTTCAAACATCGTAGAAACAAGAAGATACACATAAAAACTAAGTTTAGTTCGAATTATTTTAGGTATATCAGTATTTCTTTTAGATATACAACTAGGTTATCGTCGTAATGTTTTTATTTTACAAGATTGACAAAAAAAAGAAATTCATCAAAATCTTGATTTTATGAGAATAGCATTTTCATTTTTAAATATACATTATGTGTAGAAATGACGTGAAATTTATCGTTGTGCGAAATGTAAGTTTTTCAGTAATTTAATTAAATTAATTATCGAATATATATCAAGTTTTGTGTGATATACAGGGTATTTCTTAAGCAGAGGTTAAATATCCAGGGGAGTATTCTGTGGCCAAAAGTAAGTTTTTTTTCTGTTATATAAATGTAGGGTCTTAGGACAGCGATTGTCCAGCTACAGTGTGTCAAAAATAAAAAATAAATAGTTTTTAATTTCTTAATTTCTAAACCGCTTGAAATAATTTAACCTAATTCGGTATGCATAATTAGTATGATATTAGATATCTGAAATAAGAAATTACCAGTTTTGGAAACTTACCAGTGGTGGAGGTGTGGGTATTATCGATCATTATTTGTCAAAAAAATTTATATCACCCTGTATAATATTACAAATAAAACAAGTGATCATATGCGCCATTGTATTATCTTCACTTTTTGTTTCTTTACACTGCTTTGTATTCCAAACCGATTAACAACAAAAATGATTTATTCGATCAAGTGCATTTTTACATGGGTACTTAAATTACTTAAACATATCTTAGAGAGGTCACGCAAAACAATAATAATAAGAAGTCGTCATCATTGTGTATTGTCAAATTAAGCTTATTCTTTAAAAAGATTAAGTTTTAATCATGGGATGCTGAAATTGTGCTGAGGCTAGGCGAATTTTGATGGAAAGATGTCCAAATCATCCAACTCCAAATCCAAGAATGTTCAGAAATGGTATTCAACGTCTTTCGGAATCAATATTAAAAACTGTTTTTTTTTTTTTAATTTTTAACATGCTGGACAATGGCTGTCCTAAGACCCCATTTATATAATAAAAAACCCTTATTTTTGACCACAGAATACGTCCCTGGATTTTTAACCTCTACTTTAGAAACACCTGTATAAAAAAGTCCATAAATCAGACATATCTAATTTTAGGCCTGTTTGTACAATTTACAACTTCTGCAATATCCTTACAGCGTTATCTAATTTATTAGCAAATTACCTCTTCTAAATTTTAAATAAAATTTAAATAACATAAACTTACAAAGACCAGCCACGTTTTGTGATTTCAGTGTTATATTTAATCTGAAACTAGTTTTTTCCTCAGATATCGTAACTATTGCCGGTGAGGCATTTTGAACTGGGTTTCATTGGACAAAGTATTCGCTATTTTATTAACATAAACACTTCGAAAATTCTTTACTATGCTTTTGTTAGGAGCAAACTTGAATATACATTACCTGTATGGTATTCAATTATGGCATTCATATAAACATTCTAGAAAATGGTGAACGAAAATTATTTGAAACTATTACATTTTAAAACTAAACTACTTAGGTGGTATTCTCACTTAATTATTATTTTTCCACCCTCCTGTTCTGTAATTGAGTGTAAATCCGTGTATTTTCAGTGTTTTAACAATTAAAATGTTAACAAAACCTAATCTTTTCTGTTATATGAATTAATAATAATTAAACCTGTCACATTTTTTTAACTGCTTATGCTTCTACTGTAAACAGATGCTTCGTATTAGACAGGCAATTTCCTTATACAAAATTATATTATTTTTATAAATTCAAATTAGAAAATAAAATGCATTTCATTTTTTTTATGCAATTCAGTGTCTTGCTTTAGATATAAACTTCCTTTGTAGATATAATTTAAATGTTAGGTATAAATAGTGCATTCTAGTATCGATGAAACACTCTTCGCCGTTATTAGATTTGAATAATGATTACTTCAATTTCAAAATCAAATGAAACGTATTATAGACCTTCCGTGTCTCTGGAATGCATATTACGCAATCTTTTATGCTGAATATGATGAGATGATCAATCATGCGTAGACCAAATTATTTACATCTAAGGTAAGGCATTGTGACCCTTTAGCCTTGACATACTATTCAGGAATATAATATTTATTTCACAAATGTTCGTTTCCTTTTACAACTTACAGATCAATATCTCGAGTAGTAAGTATCAGACGTTATGAGTAAGAATAATTTTAGACCATGGCAAATACGGGACATATGTTAGTTTCACATACGTATACCATAATATGATTTATAGATATGTTGTCTAAATGGTTTTTCTATAATATATACGAAAATATAGCTAAATGTTGTTTAAAGAAAAAGTAACTGTGACTCTGGTAATTATATCTTCTTCATAATGAATAAACAAACTTAAGTTTATTTAATGCTTTGTTCTAAGCAAATAGTTTTGAAGGAAATTAAAATAACAACATATTTTAAATAACTACAATGGCATTTCAGAAGATAATAGTAAATTTCGGGTACGATATTTTTATACCTACAATGTCATTCTAGTTGTCACCCTCTTTTTCAATATATTCACGACTTTGTACAACTCTTTATTAAATCAGAAAGAAATGGTTTTGATGTGCTCCAAATAGAAACATACTAGTTTCTATAACTTTCGCATTATTCTAAATCGGTAATCTCTAAAATGACTTTTAAAAGTCCAAAGACATGATGATTAGCACAACAATGCATGCATACAAGAACTCAAACACCATATGAAGAGCAGGAGATTTATTGCAATGCAAATATATGTTTTCGAGAAGGACGTCGGGCATCTAGTGTATTCCAAAAAGTATAGAACTGTTTATTTGTTCAGCTTTTTCTGAATGTTTCCATTCTAGCTCGAAAAGAGGCTTGAGGTTCCGCTAGTTGTGGTGGAGTCACAGTAGAACTATAACAGTTTGATTTATGAGCCAGTATACTTGTCGAACCTCGCGTCTTGGAAAGGCGCCTTTAGAACAGTATCATTACTTACTGTATGTAAGATAAACAATACAAAATTCCTAAAATGTTCTTTTATAATAGGTAACCGTCATTATTATCCTCTTTGTTGCATCATATACAACAAATTAACAGTTCAAACTCTTAAATATATTATCATACGCTAAAAAACCCTCACTTGTAATGAGTTCTCCTACCACGGCTTCTATACGAATTACCATTTTCTTAAAAAAAATGTCAGTCCCTTTCAGATACTAACGCATAGATATGTTTGTAGACTTTAATTATATTAATATTGGTTTTGTTACATGGTATCCTGGTATCCCTTACATCCGTTGAAGACATGGACATACTGATGTGAACAATTTTTATTTTGAAATATATTCAAAAGTTCTATTATGGCGTAATTCTGCCTTAGAAATTTGTCTGCACAGTAGAAATGTACATTAATATACCTAGATTATACAGAAAAAATATTTTATGTTGAATTATGTGAAGAACAAAACAATTTTGTTAAATTTGATGATCAATGGTTTTTGCACTATTACATGATAATTTCTTTAAATAGCAAGCTCAAATTTTTCATCAGAGTTCATTAGAGTTTGCTTTTTTTTGAGTACGGTGACTCCACTTATTAGAAAGTGGAAATTATCGAGTAATTTTCTAGATTTTTTTTTCAGTAATTGTAGTGAGGAATTTCAGAAAAATTTCATTCTAATTGAATGTAACCTTACAAAGAAACATTAATTGACAAGAATAATTATAACAAATGTGTAAATTGGCCAATATTTGCCATTAGGATGTAATTTAAGCGGTGAACAAATTATTAATTACTAATCGTTTCGAAAGTAATCTGTCTTACCTCAGCATTGATGTCATATCCTATGTCGTCGAAAAGATGTCGTCAAATTTGCCTTTTGAACATCATCCCAAGAAAAAATCGATAGGTGTTAAGACTGGTGATCGGATTGGCCACTCTATGGCACGCAAAGTTTTCTGGGCAAGATCACCTCATAATTTCCAAACAGTGTTAGTAGGTCAACAGACCTCGCAGATATACTCAGAGTCAGTTATAACGAAATCTGATGACAAAATTAATTCGAGATTGTTATTTGCAAAAACTGAGCATCTTGTCAATGGTCAAATATAAGATATTTTAAATAAATAGAAATTAACTTATTGTATTGATATATATTTTTTTATTTTAAGGTATATAAATATATTTTTCACTGTATATATTAAAAGTGTGTAATAAATGCAGAAAAGTGTGAGAAATAAACATTTCTGAACAAATTGTACACTATAGTTTTTCTATGGTCATACTCTTTCACGTTTACAGAAATTCATACTTACTTAATTGCTGTATTTTTCATATCAGAATAATTGCTATCCATTTTTGCGTATATTAATTTGACGCAAATTGACATTTGTCTGAGTTATGATGACATTTACAAAAATTGGATATAGAAACGAGCAGAAGAACTTTGTGGCAGACTTATGACATTTTGAGGCACACTTGTTTTTCGTCGTGTTTTAAGTTTAGAGAAAAGTGAACTAGTTTGCGCAGAGCAAGCGGTGCGGAAAAACGTATTTCTGAAAATGACCGTAGTAAAAAAAAATCTTTTTTCCACAATAATTTATCTATCTTATTCAATTACTGTATGTGCCCAATTTTGATAGTAGCAGAAATACATTATGCTGTGGCCAGAAAATCTATCTGTTTACACACCACAATGCTGCCCGCATTACGCAGATTGATGGGGGAAGAGCCACTTATACTCTATGTTTGAAGTTACAAAGGTGCTAATTTTCGTCTATTTCGTGATTTAGGAAGAACCTCATCTCGTCCATACATAACCCAAAATTGATAAGTTCTCCTTAATTTATTGTATTTTCTGTTATTTATTTTGGTAATATCTGCAATGTTCACAATTAACATAAAAAATTTACTTCACTAAGCAGAGCAGTTATAAAATTAATATCCAGTTACATTTTTATTTTTATATTTAGTCGAAGCATTCAATTATTTCTGTTAACTTTAGTGTATTATTATTATTAGAATCCAATTATTTATTCTTAGAAAAATAAATACTTAGGTTTGAAATATGGCATAATATAAGTTTTTAATAGAATTCAATATTTGTTAATATAGAAACAGTTTTGTTTTAATGGGATTATTTTTGCTTAACCAAATATTTCACTCTGAAAATATTTGATAAATAGAACATCACTTATGGCTCAGTTTAAGTTACCTTACGTTTCGAAAATCAATTTTTTTTTGATAATTAGTAATAATAATAATAATAATAAAGCTTTATTTTCATATGCATTACATACATAGAAAACAGGTCAAAAACACAGGTCAAAGTTAAATATAAAAAACATCAGTACAGTACAATACATATACAAATACAAAATCAAATACAAAATCCTGGATGGAGAAAAAAGAAAAAAACAGAGAGATATAATCTGTATAACTAAAATAATAGATTAATAAATTATTGTACAGCATTATTCTGTAAATATTCCTCTAAATTGTAGGAGCAGATAGCAACTAGATATTCTCTAACTTTTTTTTTAAATGTGTATATATTCTTTGCATTACGAATATCGATTGATAAGGAGTTGTATAGGCGACAACCATTAAAGTAAGCCCCTTTCTGATATAACTGCGAATGATGCCGTTCGGAACACAGAATTTGCTTATTTCGCGTGCAATATAAACGGTTTAAGTTGTTTCTCGTAAATAAGTCTAAATGACGAAAAACAAAACATACCACCTCCAATATATAAACGCCGGTAACAGTAAGAATTTTGAAAGCTTCTCTGCAAGAATCTATGTACCTTAAATTTGCGAGAATACGAACGGCATATTTCTGTATAACGAATACCCTATTAATGGATCCACATAATCCCCAGTGAATAATGCCGTAACGTAAATAAGAATAAAAACTTGCATAATACCTATAATGAGATCAAAACATATTGGCTACATTGTTTAGAAACGGATTTCAAGCCAAAACAAGATGAAGTTAATTATTGACACAGATAATTAATTTGAGAAGACCAATCGAGTTTGTCATCAAGATACATACCGAGGAATTTTGCTGAGTGAGAAAATTACATATAATTATTCGCTATTGTTATTCCGTCAAATAAAGATATATTACAAAGTTTTGATCTGAAAAGCATAATCTTTTTCCTGTCTACATTTAACATAAGTTTTTTAACATAATTGACAGTTGTATTTAAATAAATGTTTATATTTCGTTTATTAGCTTCCAATAGTTTGTGCTTTTTTTGAAATATACCTATTTTATTATTACTAATGAGTACGTACATCTTTTAGTACTGACAGCCAACAAAAATCAAAATTCACAGAAAAATTTTAATATATCTTTTCATGTTTTCCATTTTTTGTTTTATGTTGCTTCAAAGAGTACTATCTTTTTCTACAATTTTGGCCGAAACTCTTTGAATTGTATACACGTTTACAATCATATCTCCAAGTTTCTAAAATATTAAATTTCTCCCTTTTTATGTACCTAATCTCGGGATCACCTATTTTAACATTGAATAAAATAAATATTCTGAACTTTAAACATCATTATTCTTAATACTTTAATTCATATTTATATAATATAGCATAATTTAAAAAAAATATATGTACTTTTTCCAACTTCATTATGAATGTGATTCATTATCCAAATTGTTTCAACAACGAATTTATAAATGAACAAACTTCTGCGTTACGAGAACAAAAAATTTTTAACTCGATTAATTTTACAAGGCGCCGGAAGGTTCAAAAGGTTAATATTTTATTGACTAAACACAAACAGCAGCGCTCGCGAATTTTACAGCACTCGTTCTTCTCCCAACTAAAGGAATTATTAAATTTGATTTCAACACCAAGGCTAGATTTAGGTGCGCCGGGTGGAAAGTAGGGGTCGTAATAACAAATCTAAGAGTAAAGCTGCCTATAAATTCACACCGCCGAAAAAAATCAGTACAGCTTTACCAAACGTTCAGCAATAACCAACTGACCAACCTATTTCAAAATGTACAAATTTGTAAGTATTTTTGTTCCTTATATTACGACTTGTTTAACTGTTTGAAAATTAACTTTCTCTGTACATGGTGTAGGATTAAGATATGCTAATCTTCATCAAAATCAGGAAATTAAATTAATTATCTTGAAAATTTCATTGCAATCAAGAAATTTATTTTTTTTATTTTTCTCTTGGTACCTACCCTAGGCGAAATTGCCCCTCGAAATTTTTGGACTTTTATCGTTTCATCTTCAAAACTAAATAAACTTATATAACATATTTTTTTGTATTTTTGGGTATTAAATGTTTGACTCTATGTTACAAACGGCATCTATAATCCTCGTGATAATTGTAAATTATGTGCCTACAAGTTAACGAAATAAGTTCTTAGAAATACGTGTTCTAAGACGTCTAGGTAATTGTCAATATACAGTAGAGTGGGCCGAAAATCCGCCTTTTTTGAATGTTTATTATTAATACCGAAAATATTGTTTATTATACATAAATATTTATGGAAAAGGAAAAAATTTTAGGTCGATATCTTAGGTTCGCCAAATTTCGTCAAAGTTTAAAGTAGGTACTTATAAGAAAATGTTTTTGTACTTGCCTTTATAGGAAATTTAATTCTCTACAAAAAAAGGTCCTTAGAAGAAATCATGTCAAACTAATTATTATTAATTCGGCAAATTTCGTCTAAGGACCTTTTTTGTAGAGAATTAAATTTCCTATAAAGGCAAATACAAAAAAATCTGACACCTAACGAAATTTGACGAGCCTAAGATACCGACCTAAAATTTTTTCCTTTCGCATAGTTTTTTTTAATGAACAATATTTTCGATATTAATAATAAAAATTCAAAAAAGCGGATTTTTGGCCCACCCTAATATACAGTGTGTTAAAGGTTCTGAAAAAAATGTGTGTCTTTTTTAATTACAAATTTGATTGTAGGCAAATATATGATATTATTTTATATTCAGAGGTATAATTTTTAAGTAAGTAAGATATTCTAAATTTCAATAATGATGATAATAATAATTTAAGTAATTAGGTACACTATCCATGAATAAAATAGAATATTATTTGCATGATCTTTCCCGATTGTTGTTTGCAACTTTTGAAATAAACTATTACATATCAAATATTTTCAACTTCCTATAATTCAAACACAGAGTTTGTGGATTCATATTTTTCGTTTTTATTTTAAATTTGTAATGTAAAAATCTCACAGTAAAGTTTTACTAAGCATTTTAGTTACGCCCGGAATAAATCTTTCCAAAGCAAATTGAACTTATTTATTAGTTTTACCAACTGTTTTGATGCAAATATAAAACTTGCGGGTTTAATTGAAACTGAATTATAAAATAAAATCACTTACATCCTGCTAGAGAGTGGTGCAATAGTGGGATAAGTTACGTCACTTATTCCAATCTTTCCTTGCGTCACATATGTGCAATTTATATTTGTTCTAATCAGATACTTTGTTTAAAGTTTTTATTTTTGTCAGAAATAATGTCTTGCATACAGAAAAACTTTTTGAGTACTACTTAACCACTTGTTCCACCTGGTCCAAATATAAAAAAAATAACAACACATTCGCATATTGTCATTCTCGCAATTTACATATTGGTCTTCTTGCATCAGATACTTCAATTCTTAATACGGCAAATCTTCTTTGAAAACATAATAATAGTAGTAATAATAATAGTTACAATAATATAAATTGTAAAATGGAGCTAAAATCAATTTAAAAAAATCAAAATTTAGCTCCAGTACTATCTGAAATATCCATAAATTTGTTTTGTAGACGTATTATTGGAAGGAACAAGAAACTACGAATAGAGGAAACATACATAAAGTAAAAATTATTTAAATTTAGTTTTTATATCAATTTATTTTACATATTATAGAAATAGTGTATCCAACATTAAATTAAAAGATTTCGTATTGAGGAGGTATTTAAAGAAAATTAAAATAAAATTAAATTAAAATATGTAAATATAATTCTTTTCATTCTTCACCAATGATGTGTTCGTTTTAGTTGGTTTTCCGATGTAATCCTAAATTTATTTTTCCAGGTTGTTCTCGCCGCCACCTTGGCGTACGCCTCTGCCGGTTTAATCGCTAGCCCTGCCTTGGTTGCACACTCTGCCTCAATTGTAGCTGCCCCTGTAGTGCCAGTTGTAAAAGCCGCCCCCGTAGTAGCCGTCCACACTGCCCCTGCAGTCAAATCGATCTCTGCCCACTCTACCGTAGTGAACCATGGTTCCCCATTAGTTCCAGTCGTACACGCCGCTCCAGTGGTACATGCTGCCCCAGTAGTGCACGCTGCTCCAGTCGTACATGCCGCTCCAGTGGTACACGCTGCTCCCCTAGTTCACTCTGCCCCCATTGTTGCTGCCCCTCTTGTAGTAAAGACAGCGCATGTTCCAATTGCACATATCCATTAATTTATGTCTGTTAGTGCTAAAACAAACCTTTGTAAATAAACATTAATTATTAATTTTTCCCATTTTTATTTATGTCGAAATAATTTCAAAATTGTACTGAAATTGTTAATAAAAAAATAATTTTCCATAGAAAATAACAGTTTAAATATTTATGAATAATTTTTAAAGACAACCTCTTGTTATATGAAGTTAGGTATATGACACAAAAAAGTAATAAAACTAAATAAATATCAAATTTACTAGACAAGAGAGTGCGAACATATTAAGAACTTCTGGAACTGAGAGGGAATGACATGACGGTAAATGTTGATGTTGCTATCTGGAGTTGAATTTGGTCAGTACTGTTTAATGAATACTAAAGATTTTGCTTTATGCATAGCGAGTTTAAAACGATTTGTGTATAATTATCCTGTGGCATATCGGTTTGTCAACATTCTCCGTATATCAATAGCATATCTATCAATCCACGATTGCGGTAACTATGCGTAATAATAATAAAATACTAATCATTAACAAAAATAACATGCAATTGCAATTTTTCTCACACTATACTAACACTGAAGAGACGTTTAGATTTGAAGAAACAGTATATTAAACACGTATTAGAAGTGCTGTTGAAAAATAAAACATTCCACAAAATATCTAGCCTATCAGTCAAACTGATTCAGATATTGGACTAAATAGAAATAGGTGGCACTATGGTGCTAGTTTTTAAATAGATAAGCGGAAGAATGGTATAATATAGATAATTAAAAAATATGTTTGTACCATTTCTACGAATTTCTACTTACATTTTTAGCAGTTGTCTTTTTTATAAGGTTCTACCTCTGTTAAAAATAATTCTCAAAATTTATAAACAGGAATATTCACTTGACATCTACTTTTTTATGTCGTTTAGTTTTATACTAAGTAAAAAAATATTGTTTGGGCTAAAATTGTAGTAGGTGCATTTCCTTGTTATTTCGAAACAAGATTTAGAAAAACATTTGAATGTTGCATGCCTTGTACATTGGATACATTGGGTAGAATGTTTTGTTAGGTGTACAGTGACAAAAGGTTTAATTGCAATTTGTAAAGGAAATATGACCACTAGGGTTAATGTGTTCCACTGTAATCTAACTAGACGATACTTTGCAACTATTGGATCAGTCTAGATTAATTATAGACTGCCCAGCTAAACTTGAGCACGCTGCTCTAGCTAGACCGTAGCTTTAAACAAAGACTTGGTCGCCGGTCAACCAAAAATTATCTCTTTGTAACTCATTTAGCTTATGGCAGACTGTTTTGACCATACCTTTCTTATATTATTGGATATATAATGAGCGGTCCAAACGAACTCGACTTTTCAAAAATAGGTATTTATTTCTAGATGACCTCCATCGATTGGCAATTACGTATTATGTAGGTATCGGAAAGGTAGATCCTTCACCGAGGGTCCAGATTTTGTACACCAAAATGCCTTCCCGAGAAAAATGCACTAAAATAAAATGCCTCTGAAATTCCAAAAATTGCCTCGATACGATAAAAAATTTCCGAAATACCTCCGAAATGCCAGATATACCAGAAAATGCCTCTAAATGCCAGGAAATACTTCGATATGTCTTATTATTATTGTATTATAAACAAATAAGTGGTTACTTACTTACCTGATTCTTGACTTGAGTCAAGGAAATTCCACTGAGGTATTAAGTTACAATTTTCAACACCCATGAGCCTAATTGGCCACCCTGACGCCCTGATGGCGAATGATAAAATGCATCTCATCGAGAACCTCGTATAGAAACTATTACGCGCATGCGCACAATACAAAACTTCCTTCAAAATGCCTCGAAAATGCACCAAATTTCCTCGAAATTCCAGAAAATGCCTCAAAATGCCCTGAAATACCACAGAATGCCTCCAAATATCTCAAAATGCCTCAGAATTCGAGAAAATGCCTCGAAATACCGGCAATGTGTACACCAAAATGCCTCGGCAAAACACCCATCGTCCTTCACTGATGTACTGTCAAAATTTCGTGACATTTGGATTTGGACGAATAGAAGAGGAGCAATTGCATCGGTACAAAAATGAGCTACAAACAAAGAGCTAATACTAAGTATTTTTTAAGTGATTGTTAATCCCGTGGCAGAGTTTGTGAGTGGTATACCCGGTTAAAAAATTTATCGCATTTTGGCCGAACATTTGGGCTACCCAAAAGAGTGTGTACCGTTTATTCCGGTTAACTGACAACCAAACATTGCTCAGAATTAGGACATTATCAAAGAGACCAAAAAGAACAAAAACTTCCTTTGCAACATTGTGACTGGTGATGAAATGTGATGTTTTCAATATAGCCAAAATGCCGACCGGAAAACGTCAGATGAGCCAAAACCGAAAAAATCTCGCTTGGAGAAGTCAAAAGTGAAGACAATGTTGATTTGCTTTTACGATTTCAAGGGCATTGTCTACAAAGAGTTCGTTGTACCACCCTTAATGCACAATTCTATCTTGTCGGTTTGAAGTATTTGGTGCATCGTATTCGACTCCCTGTATTCGCCTGATTTGGCAACGCGCAACTTTCACCTTTTCGGAAAAATGCATTTGCCGAATGAAAGGAAAGCATTTTGTGGACGTAGAAGACATCTAAAACGCCAAGGTCCAACTAAACTTATTCGACATGCTTTTAGACCGTGCTGTATTGTGTCGGAAGGGGACTATTTTGAATAAAATAAAACGATTTTGTTTTTCTTATATTTAAAAAGTCATGTTTACTTTGAAACGTACCTTGTATGTCTAGCAAACTGTATATCACTGTAATCTAAATAAAAGCTTATGAGAAATATGTAACAATATCCAAGGTTTATTGTGGCCAATAAAAAAATACCAGAATTATCCCTACATATCTCTTGTAGTATAAACATAATACGTGAATATCCTCATATATTTGGACCTTTTTAAGATTATGAGGAAGTTTTTTGATAAGTACCTACCTACTTTGAAACTAGAAAATTTTTTAAATTCTGAAAAAATATAAAAATAGCCTTGAACATCAAACTTAAAAAGTCAAGATTATTAAAATAATTAATTGTTAAACTTTGACATTGCATAGATATCTATTTATTATTTACTCAGTCGTGATTCTCATTTTTCCTATATTTAGATGCTCAAGGATGAAAGATAAGGTTACATTGTGCTAACACATGATTGTTGATTAAACTTGTGGGAGCCATGTTTTAACGTTCAAAGCATATTGCCGCTGGGTATCGCTGTTTTAATTTGAAAATGCTAAGAATGCTTTACAGTTTCCTTATTTGTTTATCAATTTTTTGGTTCCAACAAAAAGTAACGTTAATAATCGCAATTGTTTTAGTTTAGATAAACAGCCAACATAACGTTTGATTTGTTCAATGTTTCTTAGAATTTGTAAGGAAAATCTATTTCCTTCTACTAATCAATAATTAATTGGTAAATTATTTGTAATTGTCTAAGTTGCTTTGTTATTTGTAGCAACAAAATAAACACTAACATTCAAGTTTTATTACTCTGACGAAGAATGGAAATAAAGACTTTTCAGTTGTACTGTTACATTGACATTATCAAATTCCTCATGAAGTAAAGGTTTGGTTAGCAGAAATGTTGCGATTATTACGCAATCGCTTGGCAGTCCCATGTATTCTTTATTTTAGGCAAAACACTTTATAGGAAGGAGTGGAAAACGATAAGCATAAACGACGAGTCTGATCGACGACAACATTTTTGTAGTTGGTCATCTTTTACACACCGACCGTTCCTCAACAATCACCGAAACCACTACACAACTTCGTATCAGTTATGGTAGTATTCAAAACATTCAGGATGAGCTTGGAAACAGCAGAGTTTAAGCTCTTGAGTTTTACATCTTCCCAAGGAGGACAAAAAAAAAGGTACATCGTGAAATATGCCAGCTACTTCCGGATCGTTATATAACTGAAGGAGACCCTTTCTTGAACCGTTTACGCACTTTTATCAAAACCTAAATTTTGTTAAGAATTTAATAATGATGCGTTGCACAATGAACGAATGAATATCCTTCTCGCTTATCTTGTACACTCCCTTACAAACTCGAAGGGCTCGAGCTGTATACCACTTTCCTATGTCCAACATTCTGACTCCATTCAGTCGTAGAGTGAAAGTTTGATTTATATTTACTACCTGTTGCTAATAAAATCTTGTATGAAGTAAAATTATTTCGCTAGACATTATAATGCCAAAGGTGATGTGTTTTTACGGAAATAATAAAGTAATAGTCGAAGTCAGTTAAAAGCTTAGTATCTCGATGTAAATATTTAGGTATATTTAAATCAGTTTGAATAATATTCATAATTGCCGCATTGCACATTTGCATATTTTCCTGCATTGTCGGTGTAATTAAGCCTTAAATCCGGGAATAATGACCAAAATCACTGGAATTTACACTCGGGCAGGTAATTCTTGGGATATACAATGTGAGATAGCGAAGTGTTGTAGTACTCTTCTCATGGCGCCTTTGCAGAGTACAGTTCGTTATCTGCTATCATCGATTTCTTTTTGTATATCACGGTTTGCCTTAATACTGAGTTGCAAAATAATTTATTTGTTGTGTTACCAATTCGGTGCACAGTAAGTAACCTTACCCACAGATGTATCATAAAAAATAATAATTTGTAACAGTTTATTGCTTATCAACTTTATATAATCTAGCGGTAATTTGAACCGATTTTAAGAACTATATTTATTTAATACAGATACATTGTTTTGATCCAATCAAAACGTAAGTACTATAAATATTCTTTTGTTATTTCATTTTGTGTGAACTGGAAATTTTGTGGAAAGGTTATTGCAATCGAGTAAACAAGGGAATAGAGTGAATCCCATAAGTTATTAGTTTTGAACAGATTTTCAGAAACGTACGTAATGATTAACTCAACTACAACTACACTGGGCAATAAAAATATATAACACAGGAACTTGCGCTTTACTAAAAGTTAGGGATAAGAAGT